CATTGTAAAAAATGGCAATTAAATTTTTTGTAATAAAATAGCAATTTAAATTTTTTTATTTTTACCAAAGTAATAGTCAAACACTATTAAACGTTTTTAATGAAAAAGCAGCAGTCCCCTTGCCTACTCTTATCCTAGGTCTTTCTTCAGAGGCAGCTACCCTCAGCTTTTAGCTGTTTTTCTTGTTTGCTACCTGACAGTTTAGACTGCTGTTTCTTGATTTATCAGTTTCTGACATGACCTATTGACTTCCTTAGGTAGCACATGAGGACAGAGCTCTGCCATGTGCTCCCATTCCCTCTCCAACTGCTGCATCCCCTGCCAACATGGTATCATGTTTTGATTAAAATAGTTGTCGCTATCTCATTATTATGAGCATGGAAACACTGTTCATTGCTGAGAGAAAAAGAAGCTATAATTATTCCTCTTTTCTTATACAACTCTATTTTCCTGGCATTAATAATTACCTCATTTCTTCATTTGCCTAGCTTGCTGTGTTCCTATTATTAATTGTTTCCATATGTTCCAACATCTCTTCCACATGTTCATGAATAACATTTTCCATATGCTCAAATAGGTCACTTCTTTTTCTTTCCTGGAGACTTCCATACTCTGTTCCACTCTGAACTGGTTATTCTTTAGGCCTGCTGAGCAATTGAAACTTCTCTTTACTTCCCCTTCAGCACTCTCCTGGGTTAGTCTCCCTGTTTGCTGAATCCCATATCTTCCTCTTTCTTGGCCTAGCTCTTTATTTTGCTGTAATACAATAGCTGTGGGTAGGAATTAAATTTTTTGAGACCTTAAATATCTGAACATGTCTTTATTTTACTCTTAGCTCGATTGATAGTTTGGCTGGGTATAAAAGTCTAATTTGCAAATGTTTTCCTCATAATTTTTGAAGGCATTGTCCCATTGAGTTCTTTTTTTTTTTTTTATTTATTTTTTTAAAGATTTTATTTATTTATTTTTCCCCCCAAAGCCCCAGTAGATAGTTGTGTGTCACAGCTGCACATCCTTCTAGTTGC